AGCCTGTTGCAATGATGTAAAGGTGCCTCCACTTCCTTCTGGTAGATTCTCCTTTTCTTAAGTACACTTCACATTGTTGCCATACCAGGCACCTGTAATACAAATGAGGGCCTGCTGTGCTGCATGTTACTCTTTGCTTAGTATTATTTTAACAGTGGACCTTGTTTTAAAGGCATGATCTATGGGATACAAATACGAGATAATACATGGATTGCATTTAAAATACTTAACAAGCCTGGAACATAGTGAGCATTCCATGTATTTTGGTTATTATTAGTTTTATTATTGCTGTATATTCTAAGCCAGTTACCTATATAATTCCTTAAGCTGAGCAAAGTTTAATATCTTGACTTTTCATGCCTCAAACTGTTTTTGAGCACTTTAGTCTATTCCTAGAGTATAAAAAGGTATGATAAAATATCAAAAGGTATAGTTAGTTTTTCCATGTTCATTAGTCATAGGTTTAGAGAACTGATTGGAATGAGCACATTATAACATGACTGGATTAGCTCCCTTGTCCTTCCATTTTTTTAATACACCCAATTTCAAATGACCAAATCATTTCTGTCTGAGTAAATTGCCAGATTTTCAATGGTTGTCCATTTGAGAAATGTTTGTTTTGGAAATAATCTCTAATAATAACAGGGCAGAAATCAATCCATCTTGTTGGCAGGTTGAGGGCTTATAGAATATTTTGGCCAACTCACTGTGGCCAAATCTTAGCACTTAACAGTTGATTAAAACCAACAAACCAACACAACCCTCCCAAAATAAAACAATAACAAAAAGAGGCATTTAAAAATTGATGTTTCTGGAGCCCTCTCCTAAGAGGTCCTATAAAAAATACAGCAGCTCTAACTTCCTTATGGGATGTCTAAAGAACCTGGGAGACCTAAGGGACAGAGTTTGAAAACCACTGGTAAAGATTATCTAGAAGTTGTTGTTCATTAAGACAAGATTTCTTGCAATGGTCCTCTCTTAAGAATTAAATGTGTTTCTCTTTTACTGCCAAGTGTAGTTCTGTTTCCAAAGATGAATCTTGCAATGGCTTGCCAGAACTCAGCAGCAGCAGTGGACCACCAAGAAGGATATGCAGTATATAGGACCAGCAGAAACTGTGCATCATAAGGGGAAAGGTTTGGTATTAAACTTTTGAGGTTGGTTTCTAATTTTAATTTCCCCTAAAGTCACTCACATGCACAAGAACCAGTAGAAGTTTATCTGTCTGAGTTTCTGACTCTAATGTTAGCACACTTTTTATTAGTTGGGTTCAGTCTCTAGGGAGTAACTCTCTTTCATTTGGATGGCAGATAAAGTACTGAGAAGACAATTGATATGTCAAGGATCAAAAAACATACCATTGGCTAAGCAACGATTATGTTTCTGATTGATTTATGGTGAAATCCCTTAAGCCATTTCACTTGGGCATGTTTGTGTCAAGCACAGCTAGTGCCCCAAATGTGAGTGATGCAGTCTTCTCTTATTAGCCAGTTTTGCTGTCCGTGAAATCAAGGCAGAAGAGAGTGAATAGCTGAAACTATGGCAGGAATCAATTAAATGGTACAATTTCTCATCTCTGGTATGGAAATTAGTCCTATCAAGGAGCAGAAACACTTGTTAACAATACCAGTGCTAACTTACATTTATTACAAATCACTAAAATGTAACTGACTGCAGCACATGTTTTATCCTCAGGCACAGTGAGATATGTAAAAATCTCATGTGGTAAAATTCAAAGTGTGAGCACAAAGAGAATAGAGAACTAGCTAGCCGGCTTTACCACACAGAAAGGAAACCCACGTTAATCATAGTTTCCTAATCCTTTAACAGCCAACCAGATTAAGGTCACTCATGTCCGTCCTATACAGACAGACAAGATGTTTTAGGGGTCCTATAAGGCCTACTGGAAAGTAATCTTCCTTCCCAAGTTTGCTGCAGTACCATACGTCTGTTCCAACTAACCTAAAATTACAACATCTAGTGTCATTTCATTGGGTTCAACCACAAATGTAGAGTATTATTTCCTTGTAGCTATTAAAATGTGCATGTACCTTCTGAGGAAAGGAAACACTGAGGGACAGCTTCAGTTCTTTTATTCTCACAGTGATATGAATTCAGTCCAGCTTAGAGGTTCCAGATGCCTTCAGAGACTGAGGTTGGCAGAGTCCAGTGTGGGTGAGAACAGAAAGTCCACAGGAGTAACTCCTAAAAGAGGGGAGGGGCAGGTTTCATGGAGGCAAGGCTTTGACAGTGGACCTCAACCCTCTCCATAGCCATGGCTCCGACTTTCTCACTTTTGCACACTCAAGGCCTTAAACTTGATAAACAGTGAATGCATGAACAGCTGCTAAACAGACCATTGTAGGAAGTGGTTTCTACTGCATGGAGAGAGATAATGGGATGAAAAACAAGAATAAGGCAGTAAGGGTGTACACTTAGTTTACCTTGGGGCTAGATACTCAGAAGGAAACCAGGACCCAGAAACAACTGCTGAGACAGTTGTGGTTTTTGTATGAACCCAAAATGACCCCACAGCTGGTGGAGCAGAGAGAAGAGGGAAAACATGGCCAAACGGAAAATTGTCCACAGCGGCACTTTCTTCCAGACAAGAGGATCCTATCCTTACTTCTCTACAGTATGTCTTTTATACATTTACTCCCTCATAATGTTATTGCATGAGGCATACAAATCTATCTTTTCAAGTAGCAAATGAAACTGGTATCTTTATACTTAAGATAACACACATGAAAAAACACATGTGGGGTTATGACAGTAATCCAAAGGATTATGTTTATTTACAGTTATTTGATTCTGTGTATATATATCAACTTGTCTGTAGGTAGTGTGTGTCTGTTACACAATTTTTACAGAGAGCTTTTGGCTCACAAATGAGATGTTTTTTCCTCCTTTTTAGCCTAAGGTAGTGTACGTTTCAGCATTTGTAGTGTGTTTTGTTTTATATATGTGGAAGAATGTGCAAGTAAACATGATGTGAACTTGGATTCTTAATTCTATCTGCAAAAGTTTGCTTTTGGAGCTTGTGGGGTGCTGTGTAAACCTCTGAGATAGTCTCCTTATGATATGAAAAGCTGAGGGATTTCTTGAGAGTAAATAGGCTGAGCTTGGCATCACTTCTCTTGTTAGCAGTACATATGACAAGAGTTAGGTATGACTATGTAGGGTCTTATTTTGGTTGGAGGTAAAGAAAGCGAGAACTTACAGAAACAGGCAAAATATTTTCGAATTATCTCTTGGTTCATTTGAGTTTGTTCTTCAGCAGAGGGTGAATATCCACACCCTTCAAGTAGATGGAGAATGATTTCTTGCCTACATATTTAGCTCTTTCCTGTATTCCTTTTGCTCTAAAATACTCTTGAAAAAACTTTGGAACCAGTAGACTTTTAACTTAATTTTCTACATTTCTCTGTTTTCTGATTGGCAAATCAAAATGAAGGCAAAGGTATACTTTTTTGTAGAGTCTACACACTGAATCCTAAATGTGTGTTACAGAGTGTGGGTCAGTTTCCAGTCCTCCACTAGTGGCTAGAATGCTCCACTGGTACTTACAAACCCATGATTTTTTAAAAAAATTTAAGTGATAAAATAATTTTTAATGTCAAAATCTTTACCCTGAAGAAAGGAACCACAAGGCAATCCAAATGAACGAAAACATGCCAGAGATCTTTTCAAGTTTTAATCCTCTTTTGCTTATGTATTTTAAAACGTTCTTACTTATGACATGATGTTGAATGTATACCTCTGTACGTGCTGGTTGGTGTATACGAAGATCAAGTGTAAAAGTGAGGAACCCAGGTCCTAAAGTTCTAGAGTGTGAGTGGAGAGAGGTCTTCTGCCTCAGCTGTGAGCGGTCAAGAGCAGCAGTGCCTTGATTTCTCTGCGCGGAGTCGTTAGAGCCCGAGGAGAGAAAGGCAGCAACTTTCGAACAACCCCTCGCATTGCTTCTGCAAGCTTTGGCGCTTGGCTACCCAACCTTTCTGAGCTCGCAGGGAACAACTAGTCTCCTGCAGAAAGTCGGGGTCTCCCCCAGCCGCTGCCACTGGCGCCTCCGCGCGCCCCAGCTCCTCTCGGAAGCTCTTTATACCTTTGCAGACGCGAACGGGACCCGGGTAGCCTCGGGGGTTGGCCGGAAAGGCTTCCCATGGAATTCCCAGAGGCTAGAAGGCAGGAAGCAGGGGAAGGCAAGTCCTCAAAGCCTCCGCTACCCCCTTTATTCCTGTCTGGGATTTCCTCTTCGCAAAGGGGGCAGCCTGGCGCGGCAAAGGTGAGGGGTAGAGCTATGAGTTTCAAACCCTCGGAGCGTACTCAGGGGCACCCGGGGGTCTCCCAGCAGTGCTGAGACGTAAACACTCTGCGTGTGCGGCGGGGGCGGGGGGGTGTTGGAGGTCCGGGTGGTGGGGATAGGAGGAGATTAGAGAACCAGAACCCAAACGCCTCCCGGAACGGAGAATAGGAGCATCTTGCCCTTTCTCTGGTCCTTTTCTTCCCGTTTCATAGCCCCATACGGATAGTTGGGCACCCCTGGCGCACCCACACAGCCCACCTCACACATCCACCGGGCAGCACAAGCTAAAACCCAGACTGGAGCGTACACAGACCACACAGTAACGCCCGGAGGCTCGTTCCCTAAATCGTGTGCAGGGCTTTTCCAGCGCTTCCCTAGGAGTCAGGGACTGGAGACGGGCGGGGGAACCTGGGAAGGGTACTGGAGGTCCCCAAGCGCCGTGGCAGCTTGCCCCACTCCACCTCCACATTTGCCCTGCGTCTGTTTGCAAAAGTCCTTCCACCCTCTGGGACTGTTGTCAGGAATTTAGGAGTACTCATGTTCCTCTGGGAGTGAATCCCATTTTTCCGAGTGTTGTGGAGTGGAGGGTAAGAGGGGGAGAAAGGGGGAAGCGGGAGGGGAAGCCGCAGAAGGAGCAGCCGCAGAGGGGAAAAGAGCGGGGCGGGAACGTGGGGGTGGTGAGAGAAACGTTTTCACTCTTTGTCACTCTTGAATTGGGGGCGGAGGTAAAAAAAAGCCCACTGTGCGAAGCTATAAAAAGCAAAGGGGGCGGCGGTAAGAGCAAACGCAGAGAGGAAGACCGCGCGGAGCAAGACCGCTCCCAGGGCGTCGCTGCGTCCCTGGCAGCGTTTTGCTGCCGGGTGCCAACGGGGAACTACGCTTGGGGGCGACTGTGAGCGCGCGCGCGTTGGGGACCGCGGCTTGCTTCAGACCTTGCGGGCCAGGTGTTGGGGGGTTCCAGATCCCCCATTATAGAGCCCGCTAGCATTGCAAAGGAGGACTTGTGTCCTGCAAAGGTTGAGACATAAAGAGTAAGGAAGGAAAAGAGGAGAGAAAAGCAACTGAGGCCGAAGGAGAAGAACTAGTGTTGACCTCCTGTGCAGCTAAGAGGAGGACTGGACCGCGGAGACTCGTGCGGGACCACGGAGGAGGGGCGAGGAGCGACAGAAGCGGTGCGGGCCGTGGGGCTGGGTCTTCTCGCACCTCGGGTCACGCCTCTTTGGCAAGAAGGCGTCTGCCTTTGATTGCTTGCAGTTACTACGGAATTTCCTGCCCTGGTGGAGAACCGGGTCTTGCTTGGGTCCTCCTCGCTCCTGGTCTGAGGCGTGAGACTGGTTCACACGGTGCTGCGCCCCCGAAGCCAAGTGGGGTTGGGGGAACAGAGTCTGCGAGCACACGCGCCCCACGTGAGGGGGTCCCTTGTGGTCCTCCCGCCCCTTGCATCCTCACCCCTAGGGGATTTGCACGTGCCCGGGACCCCTCGCCGGGAAATGGCCGCGTTGATGCGGGGCAAGGACTCGTCCTGCTGCCTGCTCCTACTGGCCGTGGTGCTGATGGTGGAGAGCTCACAGCTCGGCAGCTCGCGGGCCAAACTCAACTCCATCAAGTCCTCTCTGGGCGGGGAGACGCCTGCCCAGGCCGCCAATCGATCTGCGGGCACATACCAAGGACTGGCTTTCGGCAGCAGTAAGAAGGGCAAAAACCTGGGGCAGGTAGGAAAACACCCCAATACACTCTTCAGCCAGGAGAGGTAGGGACCAGCGCTCGTGAGCGTGTTGTTTGCCTTTGCTTCCCTCGACCTTGCGAGTGCGCCCCCAGGTGTGGCGAGCACGACAGCTGGGGAGGGGTTCCCAGAAGTAGATCTGCGCGGGTGGGGGTGACTTGGGTGGCTGCTGGTGGCGGAGGGCGTGGAGCGGGTGGGTTAGAATTCTGTCTCACCTTTGCTTTGGATACATGAACCTGTATCAAGATCTAGTGTTTACCGGTGGGGAAAGTGGCCAGAACCGTCCTTCTCCAAAGTTAACGAGGCGATGCCACCGATGATGGGAGTAGCAGCTAACATATAGCAATTGTTATGTGTCGGACACTGTTCTAAGCGTTTTACATTTATTTAATCTTCACAACCCTATGAGCTAGGCGCTGTTAACTCTCCCCCTTCTTCACAAGAAACTGAGGCACGGAGTGATTAAGCGATTTTCCCAAAGCACACAACTAGTGTAAGTGTTAGAGCGGGATTCTAATCCAAACACTTGAGTACAGGTCCTGGGCTCTTAACCATTACATTTTACGATTTGGAGGGGGAATTTATCCCTTTTCAAGTTCGCGTTCCCTCCCAATCACTTTCTCCCTTCAAAGTAAGTTAACAAACAGAAAATTGCAATAGACGCTCATCTCTCACTCCCGTAGAATTGTAAATAAATCATCCGGAGGAAGCAAAATGATGAAATGACAATCCCTGCATCGTAGGCTCCAGCTACCTGGGTGCCGGCGACAAAGCAAGGACGCCGGAGGCATTTTTGCGAGAGGGAACTTTTCGCGGGAGTCTCTGTCGCTGTTACATAGACAGATAGATTGACAGTCACATATAAACAGACAGAGACGCGAGCTCGCACACTCGGCACCGCTGTGGCCGGCACGCAGCGGCCAGGAGAGGAGGCCCTGAGGGCGCTGGGAACCAGGACAGCAACCCCTTTCAGCTCCTTTTGTAGGAATCCAGAGTCAGTTTGCCAAACAGCACATGCACCTCGCACAGCACAACTGTCAACCCACAAATACGGCTCATTGTCCCACGGACGTCAAGTTTCCTTGTCTTATGAGGGAGACTGCTGCAGCCGCTGCGCGCGCTCTCGGTACCCTCCACTGGCTCCGCCGCCAGCGCATGCGACAGGGTGAATGAAGGTTGACAGCGAGGGCCGGTCCTGGATGGACAGCGAGGAAAGAGTTGGCTCACACTTGGCCCCCTACTGCCCTCTCACGGGGACAGTTTTGCTAGTTTTTGCAATTCCAGAATGCTTCCTGGGTTTTGAAATGTCAAACATTTCAGCCATCCTCGAAAAGGTATACAAAGTCTGCAAACATATAAATTTTTTTTTTGCCGTCTCAAGGGAAATAAACTATATATATTCATACATACTAAATGCATACATATCCTTTGCACATTCTCACACATGTGCACATACCTCCACACTTAAATGAACGCTCTCATTCCCTTTTTCTATTCCCTCAGAAACACCCTGAAATTTTCAGTGAAAGTGGACTTAACATTCTCTTGGAAATCCATTATGAAATGGGGCAAAGTTTAGAAAGAAAGGATACTCTCAATCAAAACCATAAGACTTTTCTCTAATGCTATTGACTTTCTTGTCATCAGTTGTTGAAGAGAGCTTAATGTTTAGTTTAGCCAAAGACAGAGGTATGGACCCAATGATCTTTTGAGGATCCTTTCCATTCTAATCTACGAACATTCTGTGAGTTTTGTAGAAGACTGGTTCCATCATCACTGGGCCCCAACACCTGATGAACCTCAGTCAAATTTTCAGTATGTCAACACTGCCATGGGGTTACATGGACTAGACTGAGGAGTACACTCTGGAACTTAGTTTATACTTTATGTTTTGATAGTATATCTGCATATAAGTATGTATATGTTTATTTTGCTGTCTCTCCAAATGTCTGCTCCTTAGAGAGATTACAACTCTTTGTATGTCTTCAAATTGAAGATTTACATATTTATTTTACAAAATGAGTTTCCTTTCTTTTTTTGGGTGTGTGTGTGTGTATGAATTTTTATATGCTCTCCATAACTTAGTAGTTCTGTGGAATATGTTTCATTTGTTTAACTGTAATGCCAGATCCTTAAGTTGAAGTTGGATTTGTAAGAAAATTGTAACTTATCAGATAATATTGTTAATATAAATTAAAATATGGAGTTGAGTTGCATGAAGATAGCTAGAAAATCAGAGGATTATCTTTAGATATTCTGGCTTCTCACTTGTTTAGGCAGTGATCTAAACTGTGTACTAGTAAGAAGACATAAATAGAAAAATCTGTCTTCTTTGAAGTAGGACAAGGAATTCTTTGAATATTTATGGATCTCTTTATCTTCTTTATTCCACTAGTTATATGGTTACCAAAATTCTTAGTACTCTTATTTTCAATAATGGAATGGAAATTAGAAAAACTCTTCAGAAGGGAAGATGCCACAGCCTTTTACAGAGAAAAATTCTAGAACTGAAATATAGCTGACCTGAATTTTTATCTATCAATATAGAAAAATATGATTGAGAGCATTGGAAGTAAAGTGACAGCTGATCAACCTAGCTCCTTAAGTCTATATCATCCTGAGACCGAATAAGTTTAATTCTTTCCCTCTTCACTATGATGCTGTTGCTGAAGATACAGGAACAAGAAACAGTAGGATGCAACTTCAAGTAGGCATACTAGAAATTTAGTTCTTTTTTCCTTAAGTGAAAATAGAATAATCATCTATTCATTTTTCTAATTTATGTTCCAGGTAGAGAATTAAAATAAAAAATTTATTGCCATTGCTGAAAAAAATTATTTAAGAAATTTAATAATTTGTTAACCTACAAAAGTGAAAATGAGACTAAACGGGTCTCAAAGTTCTCTTGATTCATCATAGCCTGAATTCATATGAAGAAAACATCCTTATTTATAGGAATTCTACTTGTTCTCTAGGCAAGGTGGATTATTTGTGAATCACTCTTTGAAAAGATGTCTTTGGATTTCAGGAAAGATTCTTAGGTTTGCTTTCAAAGAGAGCTATGAGTAATGATGGAAACTGACATAGAAATTTGGAAGCGGTTGTATTCAGGTGATGTAGAAGTAGCAAAAATGATTTTGCTGAATTATTCACATTAATGTTTTAATTTGACTTTCCATTCACATCTACTGCTGGTGGGTTTTAAAAGGTACATATATGTGTATGGGATAAATTAAGTTGAAGGACTCTTACATATATATGTGTCAATATTTACATATTTCAATTTTTAAAGAGATTATTACAAGTGTTATAAATTAAAAGTAATTTTTAACAAAATCTTCGGTATCATGTGGATAAATATACTCTGAGTACACTATTGCTTGACATCACCTAAAAGGTATCAACCTTTATGGGCCACCTTAAAAGCCATAAAAAATAAGCAACTTAAAAAAATCAATTTACCTTTACAATTCACGTTTTTTGTGTGTGTGGGGGTAAAAGTCCTTCTGGATTTGTGCTTGTAATCATTTCTTTCAGTCTTTACTTCTTGCTTTACCTATTTGAGACAAGAAGACTAGCTTGAATGCAATGCTGTAGGATTTTGAAATATTTTTTAAAATTATGAGTAGAACAGTGGAAAATAGTTTTAAAAGTAATTAAGTTCTAAGCATGTGTGTCTAAAAAGAAGCTGATATTGGCTTAATGTAAATTTGGATTCTATGATTTTCTAAGGTAACTTCTATACTTGAAGGACAGGTTTGGATGAAGTTAATGACATGGAAAGAGAATGCTTGGAATACATTGAAACAGTAGCTTGAGGGAGTTGGTTTGAGAGCACTAATAATGTGCATATTGCATATTCCTTAATAAAAATGCTGTATCTATTTGTATGCACAACCACTCATGAAAGTGCTTGTTGAAATAAACTATATATAAACAACATATTCTATTTTCTGTAGGTGATCTTGTCACTTTTTGAAATTACCCGTGACTCTTTTTTTAACTCCAACTCAACTTTCCCCTGCTAGGGAGTAAATATCTCCTCTCCTTTGGACATCAACTGATGCTAAATATAATCAAGAAAGAAAATCATTTTTTGAAATTAAGTTTTTCAAAATAAAAAGAATTCGAAACAGTCTACACTAAGGTTCCTTTTCTTTCACTGTGAATTATAGAGAATTGAGAGTTGAGACAAGTGGCAGGTTACCTTGTGAACAGCAAGAAAAGCACTTTAATGATAATCTAAGTAAGAGGATCTATCATTACACTTTTGTGCTAGAGTACAGAGAGCAAGGGACACGGTTACTTAACTCACTCCAGCTGTGAATTTGACCCTACCATAGTCTTCTTTAGTACTTGCCTCTGATGCACTTCTCCCAGGATGTTTCAAATCTTACAGTTTTTAAAGTAAAGAAAGTAATGCAATAGAAGTGTAACTGATGTATTTTGTTCTAGGAGAATATCGCCATTTCCTCTTCTTTGCCCTGCACAATCATTTTAAATGTATATTAAAATAATCTGTTAAATTACAGAGGCCTATTATAACTCTCAATATATTTGCCATTTTAGACCCAGTCTCTTTTGGCTGGTATTCTTTGGTATTGATGTAACTGAAATTCTTTAATATGGATGTAACTTTGAAATGAATTACAATCTCATTACTGTGTGTGACTCCCTAACAGCCCTTTAAAATCATTTTACTTCATTATATCTCTAGTTACTTGTACTTATCTATAAAAAGGAGAAAACTCCTATTAGTTATTTACCTGACCATTGAAAAGATTATTGAAACTCTTTATGTGATATTTGTGTCTGCCCGTGACTCTTCCAGAGCTGATTTTTAAAAATCTGAAGCAAAACCCAAAAGGAAACAAAATTAATAATGATTAGTCCATAGATTTTTGCATTGTGTAGGTTGCTTTACGATTACATAGACAATTTAAATATGGACTATAGGATGAATACTTAGTATTACCACGTAAAGTAAGC